TCCTCTATCCATCTTCTATCTGCCTCCCCCTCTCTCCCTATTTATTTCAGAACCCCCTTCCCCTCCCCCATTTCTGAAGAAGGGTCTAGGCCCGAAATGTCAGCCTTCCTGCTCCTCTGATGCTGCTTGGCCTGCTGTGTTCGTCCAGCTCTACACCTTGTTATCTCAGATTCTTCAGCATCTGCAGTTCCTACTATCTCTGATATCGTAAATTGGTTCTTAGCGTACAGGGCCCTGTGTAGGCGCCTGTTTCAACTCAAAATAGGTGACACCTATTCTTTGATTCATATCTCAAGGCAATTCTTTGACCAATCGGAGTCCACCTGCCTTGTTTAAATTGAAACAAAGCATGGCAGTTGATTGTTACGTGTCTCTTAACTGGTTCTTTCTCCATAACAATACTTCTACCATTCAGCGTCTACTTGTCTACCAATCAACACTCTTTCCTTATGGATTGTAAAGTGGTGTTCCCCCATACGTTAGTATTTTTATAAATGTCTGAGTGAGCACAAGATGAAAAGCTTCAATAGATTGTCTTTTTTGCATCAATACTGTGACATCCTTCAAGTTTGGAAAGGACTCCATATTAAACAATAACACATGTAAAGTCTTTAATCAAGAGAGGAAGGAGACTAAAAGCAGGAAACCATAAGCCCGTTAGCCACTATGGCTCTGTAGCAGGGAAGTCGTGGATTCACTAAAGAGAAATCATGCTTGATAATTCAGCTGGAATTTTTTGAGAATGTTACCCGTAGAATGAACAAGAATGAATCAGTAGATGTTGTGTATCTAGATGTTCAAAAGGCTTTTGACAAGGTTCCACACAAGAGATTAGTAAGGAAAATTAAAGTTCATGATATTGAATGTAAGGTATTGACGTGGATAGAGAACTGGTTGGCAGTCAGGAAACAGAGTTGGAATAAATGTGTCCTTTTCAGCGTGGCAGGCAGTAATGAGTGGGGTACTGCAGGGTTCAGTGCTGGGACCTCAATATTGTTCACAATATTTGTTAGCAACTTGGACAAAGGAATTCAATGTAGTATCTCCAAATTTTCAGACAACACTAAGCTGGGTGGAAGTGTGTACTGTGAGGAAGATGCTAAGAGGATGTGGGATAACTTGGACAGACTGGCTGAAGGGGCAATTTCTTGAAAAATGCAATGCAATGTAATGTGGATAAATGTAAGGTTATCAACTTGGGTCACAAAAACAGGAAAGCAGATTATTATCCGAATGGTGTCTGTTTTGGAAAAGGTGAGATGCAACGAGACCCGTGTGTCATGGTGGAACAGTTGCAGAAGGTTGGCATGCCGGTACAGCGTGCAGTGAGGAAAACTAATGGCATGCTGGCCTTCATAGTGAGAGGATTTGAGTCTGAGTAGGGATGTCTTGCTGCAGTTATACAGGACCTTGGTGAAGCCACACCTTGGATACTGTGTGCAGTTTTGGTGTCTTAATCTGAGGAAGAAAATTCGTGCTGTTGAGGGAGTCCAGCAAAGGTTCACCAGTCAGATTCCCGGGATGGCAGGCCTGACATGTGAAGAAAGACTGGACCAACTGGGCTTGTATTCACTGGAATTTAGAAGAATGAGGGGGCAATCTCATAGAAACATACAAAATCCTGATGGAACTGGACAGGCTAGATGCGGGAACAATGTTCCTGATGTTGGGGAAATCCAGAACTAGGGTGTCACAGTCTAAGAATAACGGGTAAGCCATTCAGGACTGAGGTGAGGAAGAATTTCTTCACTCTGAGTTGTGAGCCTGTGGAATTCTCTCCCACAGGAAGCTGTTGGGACCAGTTCATTAGATATATTCAAGGGGGAGCTGGACCTGGCCCTTGTGGCTAATGGGATCAAGAGGTATGAGGAGAGGGCAGGAATGAGATACTGAGATTGCGTGATCAGCCATGATCATATTGCATGGTGGTGCAGGCCTGAAGGGCTAAATAGCCTACTCTTGCATCTGTTTTTTCTGTTTCTGTGTTTACTTCATCTATTAGACAAAGTAACATCCGTAGTGAATAGAAGGCGACTGATAGATGTGATGTACTTAGTTTTCTAAAAGGCATTTGATAAGGTGTCACGTTCGAGGTCCCTGCATAGTTTTAAAGCAGTAGATGTAGGGCAGTACTTGCCAAACATTTCCCTACTGTGACTCCACTGAGGCTTGAGCATTGTTGTAACCCTTCTTAAATACTGAGAGCAAGGGCCTGTTAAAGCGAAAGCATGACTGTTTTAACTTAGTCCAAACTCCACATTACTGTCTCAGATCTTGCTACCGCAAAATTTCACCCCTGATTCCATTTTGGGAGCCCCTGGTGTGATGGCTGGCATATTAGAATAAATAAAAGATTGGCTAATTAACAGGAAGCATAGAGATGAATGGGTCTTTGTTGGGTTG